AATAAAGCATTACCAAAGGAGTCTCAGAAACACGTGGTCCTTATTAGCACTGCACGTGGTCGTAACCGGATTTTTGAATCAGAGTTACGCTGGCCGCCTACTTTTACTGAGCCAGGCTATCTGATCAACCATATGACACATAGACTTAAACGCAAGAAAATCAGAGAAGTCGAAAAAATAGGGAGCGAGGGGCAACTGCACCTTCACGCACCAAGTCTGAACTTCGAATAAAGTTATGTTTCATCAGATCGCCTGGCTCAGTAAAAGTAGGCGGCCAGTGTAACTCTGATTCAAAATCCGGTTACGACCACGTGCATTGCTAATAAGGACCACGCGTTTCTGAGACTCCTTTGCCAATGCTTTATTTTTCTTCTTTTTTCCCCTTTCTAGAAATTGCGTTCTCCTGATGAGGATGGACTTTTAGCTGCCCGCGAAATCGATTGAGTGTTTTAATATAGTTACGGTAAATACAAGGTTGTTATTGCGATTTTGACTTTCTAATTTCTTTGCAAAATCCTCTAAAACCGTAGCGAAGAAAGAACATGGAACATGGCTGAAATCATTTTTCCTTTTTGTGAATAAGCTGTCACTAATTTCCAAACTTTTGTAACGTCCATTGATTTTAACATTAAGATGATACGAGGGCTATCCAGAAAGTAGATTACGTTATGGAATAAAAAAATAAACAAAGTATAGGAAACAAATTTTATTATATACAGATGAAAGCCACTCTCAAATACTACTTTTCTTTTCTACATAGTCAACATACAATTAAGCATTTATCGTAGCGATGTACGAGCTTGGAAATTCCTTCGTCGAAAAATCGGCCGCCTGCGCCCTTCAAACCACTTCGTTCCTCTTCTTGCCTTCCATCTTGCACAAAACTTGTGGTAACCAAGCTTTTCGCTGATGATTCGTGCAACAAACTTCGCGAATTTGTGGAAAACTCAAAAAAGTTCCGTTATTGTGAAATTTCGATTTCACGGACTTAAGCATCGACTTTTTTCGAGAAGTTCGGCGGTCCTATGCTGGGTCTCCCACTTCGATCTTCGTCGTGAACATTGGTTCGGCCATTTTGAAATCTTATGACCCACTGACTGCACTCCACCTTCAGTGATAATGTTGTCCCCATACACTTCACTAAGCTGCCGATAGATTTCTATCGGTTTTACAGTTTTTTTGCAGTCAGAAACCTTATTACTGAGCGCACCTCGCAGCTCGCGGGATTTTCAATTAACGCAGACATTTCAAACCGTCACAGTATCTGAACGGAGCACAGCACGAACCTCTCACTAGCACGGCTAGATGCAGACTGAGCTGCGCAACGCTCTGACCCCAAGATGGCCGCGCTAGCCCCGCCCCTTGCGGACACAGACGGAAACGTAATCTACTTCCTGGATGGCCCTCGTATAATAAGGAACTGCTACATACCTCTCTGATGCAATTATTCTAATCAACCATCATGTTGTGATTAATTTGATAAAAACTTTTATTCTCAAAACTCAGTTATTATTACAGCTCACCAGCGGCCGAGCGGTAAAGTCGCTGAACAGTGGTAGTTCAGTCCGAGGTTCGAATCCCGCGAACGGGCTGGCTGCATGGGTGTTTTCGTGGTTTTCCCCATGTGTAACGTGTATACGAGCCAGTTTCCCTTAGAAAGTCCTCCACGAAAGGCATCCCTCCCCTTTGGCAGATAGCCCTAGTGTGATTTGCCGTAATTAAATACACCACACTAGTTATTATTACAATAAGTAAATGAATTATACAGCAATAAAGAAAGGAGTATGTATTCCAAAAATCATGTTTATGTTTAGACAATTTTTTTCTTTCGAACATGAACAAGTGCTGTATAGCCAGTTCGACTTCAAATCACATTTTAATTTCATGAGGTGGTTATTACCCTTTTTGAAGAAATGGGATTATAACAAAAAGAAGGTACTTTCCAGTTATCTGCACCCCTACCATAAAGTATCGAAGAGGCAATGTACCGTGTATGTGGGAACCCAGAGTGTCACCAAAAATTATTTATAAGGCAACCCAAGTATGCGCATAGTATTATGGCCAAGATAGAATCCCCTTAGATTCTTTATTCTTCATTGAACATTTTCACAAGTGTGACTGCATAATATAATCCCTTCTATGGGAATTTCAGTGTTTTAGAATAGCTTTTGATTGCATACTGCAATTTTGTCATCTTTGGCAAAACTCAGACTTAGCTTTCCACACAAGTTTGGCACACACAAGGCACTATTTTATTTCCAAGGCACTTTCCACTCAAGGCACTATTTTATTTCTCATTTTAGGATTTCCATGCTGCAGTTGTGTATGATGCTGAGTGCTGAGTTTGTAAAGTTCTTTGAAAATTTTCTCAACAAAAACAGACCATTTGTATACATCGAGAGAACTTTATTGTAAAAAGTTGAGAAGTGTGTTGTATGTCTTGTATAAAACAATAGTGTAAAAACATTAATAGCACTGGGTGTATTGTTGAAATAGACGTAAAGGTACTGAAACAAGGGTTTTTCTCCAAACATAGCAACATGTTTGCACATGCTGTCCAAAATCAGAAATGACTTCGCAGATTTTCGGTGCGGGTATGGATAATCATTTTCATGTGTAAAAAATTATATAACCACAATAAACACGGATATCTCAATTTGATCATATTCTGTATAGGGTTAATGATACAGTCTTTATAACTGAATAGTTGTCCACAGTCTTTATATTTGAATTACCAAATTCCATATTCAGATGAATGTTGAATATTATTTAGCATTAGAAATACTGATATATTAGAAAACTGAATAGGTGTATGTTAGTCATTTGTAATTCTACTGTTAAATACACTCATGTCCATAAATTAAGGATAATGCAAAATCAGACAAAGGAAGAGTTAGAAGCAAAACAAATTTGACTTATTTGTAAAACTTATTTATTAAACAAAAGGTAAAGAGCAAAAAAAGATGCTATATGTTTGATATTATTAAAAAAAATTAGCGATTTTTTCTCCCTAGAGCAAATTACAAAAACAACCTATTTACAAAAAAACAATATTACATGCTTGGTATTGATTGTTAATACATCGTATGTCTCCCAGACGATGCAATACAGTCCGTACAACGCCTAGGCATGCTGAGTATCAAATTATCGATCTGATCTTGGGGGATATTACACCACTCAAAAAGCAATGCTCTCCGAAGTTCCGGTAGACATGTAGGAGGAGGTTGACGGGCTGCAACTCGTCGGCCAAGCATGTCCCACACGTGCTCTACTGGATTCAAGTCCGGTGAGAATGCTGGCCAGGCCATACGGGTGATATCCTCCGATTGAAGGCATTCGCTTACGATGTTTGCACGGTGAGGACGGGCGTTGTCATCCATAAACACAAATTGTGCGCCCATGGCGCCCCGAAACAAACGTACATGTTGTTCCAGAATGACGTCCCGATAGATTTGGCTTGTCATGGTTCCAATTTGAACATGCAGGTCAGTTCTGGAACCCAGAATAATTTCACCCCCAAACGAGTACTCCTGCACCACCGTAACGGTGTCAATGATGTTTTCTTGGTGGTAACGGGTACCTGGAGCTCTCCATATGAAAGTCCGGCGAGAATCAGACTGCAAGCTAAACCTGGACTCGTCGGAAAACATCACACAAGCCCACTGTTGCGGTGTCCACAATGCATGCTCTCTACTCCAGGCTAACCGCAGGCGACAGTGAGTTGCAGTAAGTGGAACGCATCTGACAGGTCTACGAGCATATAGACCAATCTGCCCTAAGCGTCTGTACACGGTCTGCCTTGAAATTGTCGTACCAGTGGCTGAAGAGAGCTGACGAGACAGGTCTGAGGCTGTGCTCTGTCTTTTGGCAGCAACTGTCAAATACCGGTCCTCATTCGGCGTTGTAACTCTGGGGCGACCTGTGCTGTAACGTCTACTCACATTACCATCATCTTTGGAATCGTTGCCAAAGCCTGGAGATGACACTCTGGGCAATTCCAAGTTCGTCTGATACTTCCAGTTGGGTACGCCCACATTCCAGACGGCCGATAATTCTACCACGTAAAAAATCATCCAAATGCGTCCTTTGTGTCATAACTATTCGGTTATTGCACTGAAATGCTTATAAAGCGCCTGCGAACAATTTACTTCTTTGCCTGTATTCCTTATATATCACTCTCTTACGCTCTCGTCATTGTGACGTACCATCGGTGTCATCTGGTTACTTCCTGAAATTTTCATATGATTCTTGAAGGCGTGTGTAGTGATTTTACAGGTGAAATATTTATTTTAGAGTTCGATTTCCGCGTGACTTGAATTATCCTTAATTTATGGACATGAGTGTACTTAAAATGTATTAATTAAACTGTTGTAATACTTAAATATTTAATAGTTTTAAATGCTTGCATTCAAGAATTTATTATATATATTCCAACTGCTCACATTACCCTCCAAAAACCAAAGTTTTACAGTTGTTAGTCATATTAGAAATCTTCAAAATGACTCTCCTCTCAATGGGACAACAAAATTTGATGACATCTGCAGCTAGCATTCTGAGAGAATGCTGTTTATGATAAAGCACCGATCTTAGAGTAAAAATCCAATTTTTAGGATTACGAGTAAAAAAAACTTTTAAGTTTAATGGGCATAACAGGCTGATTTTCAGCAGAAAAGTTACTGCATTTTTGAATTGTGTAATTTTACTTTTAAATGGAAATTTTTTTTTGCAACTTGTAAGAAACTTTTGCGTTAGAATGAAAATGAAATAACTATAATCAGTTTGGCAAATACTGCCTAAAGAATAATAAATTTCTTTGATCCAAAAAGTAGTCATTCAAATAAAAAAATGTGAATTTCTCTCAAGAAAATAGTTGCTGTAATGATTTAGAAAAAGCTAAAGATCGATAAAACAACTGACATTGAATAATTTTCCAAACATCAGTACTTACTTTTATTATTAATAATTGTGAAAAACATTAAATGAAATTTTTATTATTACAGTTATAGAAGAAATGGAGCAAGAGCGCCAATCTATACCTTATCTTTCAGCAATTTATATTTTAACTTCTTCAGAAGAAGTAATATGCAAACTTTATTTATTTTACATTCTTTTAATTAACTGTTGGTAATGCATTTCAGAAATTTATTGCGTATGCCTTTAATATACTGTGTATATCCTTTTTTTTCCCCCGTGACTCTTTTTTTTTTTTTTTTTAAAGCACAAAGTGTATAATTTTGAATTCACTACATCTCTATGTTTTCAGCATTGATCTTGAGTTTTAAGCTCTGCGTCCACTTTACGATCCCATTTAAGGATTTCTGGAGCACTGTTTCAAATTCATGAATATCCTAATATCTTTCCTGGAGTGCCAGATCGCGATGTCATCTGCGTGGCAGGCCACTTTAGTATCTTTTTTAAGGTTCAGGTGAATGTTGTTCACATATAACAGGAAGAGAAGTAGGCTAAAATAAGAACCCTGTGGAACACCTGCAAGGATTTTCTAGCTCTTGGATAATTATCCACTGTAGTGTACTTTAATTTTTTGTCCCTCAAGAAATCAATTATCCAGATAAGGGTACTTACTCCAATAAGACAATGATGTATAAGTTTAATGAGTTTCTGTTTCCAGGTTGTACTAAATGCAAAATACATATCAAGAAAAATAGCAGTGGTCTTTTTTGGTAGTTGCCCTTGGAAACCATTGGTGATAGATTAATTGGTCTTTAGTGGAATGTTGTTTTCTGTACGCTATCTGATAGTTATTTATCTTCTTGTTTTTTTATGAGGACATTCTTGATTCTGGAATGGATAATTCGTCTATCAACTGCATAGGATGCTTGTGAGGGCGATAAGCTTATAGTTCTTGCATTCTGCGGCTGACTTATTTGGTTTCAGTAAAGGTAAAATGGTCGAAATTTTCCATGCCTTAGGCATCTTGCCAGATTTTCATGATGTGTTAAAGATGGTCAACAAACATTGTCGTGCTTTCTCACCAAGATTTTGAACCATTTCTCCAAAAATAAGATAATTTTCTGGTTGTTTATTTCGTTTAATAGCATCGATTAGCAGCATCTAATTTTCTTAAAGTAGTGTTCTTTAGAAACAGATCATCATGCCTGTACCCTCTAGCCCCCAGGAGTAATTTTTTGGCAGCGCATTTTATTTTCTTATCTTCTTTCCGGTAGTCAGTTTTACCAATACTAGAGAAGTGCATTGCAAGTTAATTGACCACTTTTTCATTAGTATCTATTGTTAATCCAGCTGTATCAAGGATGTTTGAAGATTTAGCGGGATTTGGAGTGCAGAAGTTGTTCAGTGATTTAGCTATTTTACAATATTTAGCGTCTTTCTTTGGATCTAGAGTCTTACAAAGAGCCTATTTTTGTTGTTTGTTGGCAACATATTTTTCTTCCACTCTGATCCTTCCGATAGCAGTCTTTTATTTTCTTCCGTGTTATTTGCTTCAAGTTGATCATTCAGCAAGTTTCTCTCTTTAATTAACGAGTTTATATTCTGGTCCTTCCAATAAAAAATCCAATTTCCTTTTTCCTCTTGGAATAAGTTTAGATTCAGTGAGTATCTGGTACTTGAGCGAGATTTAAAAAATTTTAATTTCTAATTGTTTGGTTAATTGTTGTCAGACAATCAAGAAGCATAATCGAAATCTGCTTAGTGTAGATTTGAGCATGTAATTCATAGTTTATCTTCAAGGTCTACATCTTGAACTAATACTTATCTTAGTTCTACTAAAATTAAGCTACTGCATAAAACTTAGTTTGAGCTAAAACAAACTAATTTTGAAAATTGTTAGTAATAAAATATATTTTCTATGATATTTCATGTGATTAATTCTAATAGTAGTTTGAATGAGTTTAATTTCTTTTTGCAATATTTAATATAGGATTTTTTATTTTTATTTTTTTTTTTTTTTTTTTTTTTTTTTTTACAGTCTCTGGAATACTTGAAGATTGATTTTGATTCCTCAAATCAGAAGTATTATTGCACATATTTGTTCTTTTTATCTGGTAATTATTTCATTTTTCGTAAGTAAAATAATGTATGTACTACAAGTGTATAAACATTATTAATTTTGTCTGCTTATTTTAAATTTTTCAGCTATACCAGAGGATATGTTTAGAAATTTATGTGAAATAATACATCCAAGTTCAGTTAAACTTATTAAGGAAATTGATATTTTATTTTTACCTTATGAAGCTCAGGTATTATTTAAATTTTATATTTCTATCAATTAATAATATGGTGCCAACATATATAATTATATAATTATTGCTGTAAAGCTTATGATGCACACAAAATAATATACCTAATTAATAAGAATTTCACCATTGTATTTTTATAATTGCAAAGTTAAGAAAACTTTTTTATTGACTTACCCTCATTATGGTTATTTTGATAGCTAAGTTCTTCAGATACCTGTTATTACCGTGCTTATTACAGATTTTACAAATGGTAATTAATGATTTAATTAGCATACAGTGTTTGAAGAGAAAGATTTAATAAAGTAATTGAAAAAATAGTTTAACGTTGTCTAAGTGCATGTAAGATTTTTTTGAGTAATTTTCCAAAGCCCTAACCAAAATATCTATTTTTTATGCGAATACATGAATCGAATTTTTAAAAAATGTTTTATTGCTGCCAATAATTTTTATATTAATTGCAGTTTTCATTGGTTTGCATGATGGCTAATTCAGTTTCATTAATTGTTTATCTATTGAATTTAGTTGTAGTTGAAAACTTTATTTACAGTTATTCTTGCTTATTTTAATGCAATTAATCTTTATTTTCTTGTTTATTTCCTCCCACCCAAATTCGCCTCTTCTTGTCTCTTGTAACTAGGTTTTTAATATTCAGGCTATAAATATAGCAGTGTAGACAACATGCATTTTCTGAAAAACAAAATCCTTTTTTTTTTGAGGGGGGTATGGTATTATCCAAAATATTAAAGAATAGTATTGATGATAAAAATATAATATAGTTTTCAAATGGCATGTTAACTGATTTAAACGTGTTCAGTAAAAAAAAGATATAGGCTCCATTAAAGCCAATTTCAAAAATCAATATTCAACTCAAATTCTTCAATATCTGCCTTACAAAACCATTCCCACCAATGGTCGAGTGCATAATACCACTAAACACCACTAGTTCATCTCGGGTTTAGATCCCAGTAAACAGGCTATCTGCATACGCGTTTAAATGCTTTTTCCCTTTAGTGAAGCTAGTTTCTTTTAGAAATTCTCCAAGAAGGCACCTCTTCCCTTACGTAGATAGAACTTCAGTGCTTTACCATAACTGATTAAGCAAACAAGCTATAAACAAATTAAAACATCTCAGCGCAGAGTTTTATAAGCAGTAATATTATTTAATATCACTGCTTATAAAACTTAAGCCTGTGCTGAAGTCGTTTCATTAAGCAGTGACAACTGCATAAATGAAAAATTTTGGATCTCATGACGAATATATGCTTTAAAATATTCTTAAATATAAAAATTTATTTTATTTTATTTTAGGTATATTCATTTGATGATGATGATTTCTTTGCAACATATTTCAATAGTTACAGTAATTTGAGTTTAAATTCTTGTGGTGTAGTGGCTAAGAAACTAATGACACTATTGTCTACACTTGAAGAGTTTCCATTACTGCGGTACCGAAGGTAAGTTTAATATTTTAGAGTTGTTAATTTTAATATTTATAATATAAAAATTGACGTTTTTGGAAAAATATGGATCTAAATTAAGTAAAACACTTAACAAAAGAGTGAACTTATTATTTTATTCATGAAACTTATAAAAAGTAGTAACCGCTTATCCTCCATTTCAGTTTGAGAAAAATGAACCATAATAATAATTTTTGAAAATTGAAATAGCTCAATTAAAATATTTTTTTTTTGGCTTTGAAAATGAATATTTGAATATTTTTTTACATTAGCACTCTTAACAGGTTTGCTAGAAACATTTAGCCAGTGTCCAACAAATACGATCTCACGCATATTTTAGTAGCTCATATTTTAAAGTCACACAACACAGATTCAGAGATGTAATCTAAGGAATTAATTAATTTGTAAATAATCTGTTCAGATGTTTGAAACTGGAAAATTGAACATTATGAAACTAAAATGGTAAAATTTAACCTCATGCAAATGTTATTTTTGTGGGGGAAAAATAAATGTTTTTGTCTTTCTTAAAGTGCTATTGGTTTTACGGAAAGTTTTTTTTTTTTTTTTTTTTTTCAGTTTTGTTGTGAAGCCAATACAATATTGAATTCAACTTAACTTCCATTTGCCATATTAGTATTTGTATATTAGTATTTGCATTAGTATTGTGTATTCCACCATGAAAGAAAATTCTAACCTCATCAATTAATTGCTGAAGTCAATTACCAATTAAAAGCAAACCATATCTTAACACTTCAGATGCAAGCAATATAATTATTTCAGTAAATAGTTCTTTTCTATTTTCTTTTTCACATTTTAATTGCTTCTGACATCACTTAATGATTGCCCAAAATTAAATAAACCACAACACTGTTAGAAATGGTAACAGAGATTTGTAGAGCCAGTTTCCAATGCAAATACTTTTTTTTCTTCAAGGGCTTCTAACATTGCATAATTACACATAATTACACTTCATGATATGAAGTAAAATGATTTTTTCTCAGTAAGAAATACTATGTATAATTCAGCTCACCTTGAGTTGTACCTAGCAGAATTTATCTGGAACCTGTATAAAAGGATATATAAATCCTTTTGAAGCTGTATTATCAGCAACTAAAATTATATAGAATCAAGAAGTCTGAGACGGTCCTACTGCTTTAATCATTAAAAAAGTCATTTTGCAAATAAATTTCATTTCTGTAACTCAAATTTTACAGAGCTGCAATTTCAGTGCACAATGCTATGTACGAGGTAATTCAAGATGAACAGTACAAAGAAAAACATACTTGGGATTGTTGTAACGAATTTAGTGTACATATATCTTTAAATAATATGGCAGTTAAATACTCCACCTTTTTTTTTACTGATAATCAAAACCTATCAAATTAGCAGGTTTCTGCATGATAGGTTTAATTTTTTTTTCATGCCCATGCCGGCATAGCTTGATTAATTGAGTTGGCCTCATTGCCTTTTTATTTCTTTAACTGCTGTAAGTCCTGAAAAAATGAGGGTACAAATACCTTGTCTTTCATATACCTCCAAAGAAAAAATAACTGCAAGGGATTAGTTGGGGTGTTTTAGGAGTGGCACATATTCAAATTATCACAACTGATCCAACTGCTGAAAGATACTGATCGAGGTTTATGCATACATGTCTAGTTCTCCTACATTCCATTGCTCAAAACCAAGTTGCACATCTTTCTTCCAACTGAAGCAGCAACTACAAAGCATATCAAAGTGAATGAATTTTGTAATAGTAGAATCCATTAAGAGGAAATGCTCCAAGACATGGCAGTTAATTCTGGCACAGGAAGTGTTTATCTTTGGAAAACCATGTTCATATTCCAGGTCCTTGTATCTGAAATTATGTTTGCTCAGTTTGCCGGAAAGTGGGAGAAATACCTTATAATATAAATAAAGCAAACGTTATTAGTGAACACAAGTCTGCCTGCAAGATCATTCACATTAGCTATGCTTCGAAACCCAGACAGAAATATCTCCATTTTGGTTTTTTTGGTAATTTTCAATGCCCATGCCATGTGAAATATCTTAACCTTGAAATGCAGACACTCATGTACCTAGTGGTACACTGCTGCTTGTAGCACATTAAGTTGTCTACTGGCTTAGTACGTTAAACTGCTGGAGCTTCATAGGTAAATGGTGCAAATGTTTACTGCAATTTCGTTGTTGATAGATGTTTGCCCTGAGATTTTTCTTCTTTGTGTAACATGAAAATGATCTTGAAAATGTTTCACTCACCCTATAATGCTGCGATAATGAGGTATTCCTGTAATAACTTTTATCCATCTCTGAACAATACTGCCAACATCGTTTTTATGTAGCCTAGTACAACATAAGCTATTTTGATAATTTCTGATTATCTGCCCATAAAGTAATCTGTAAAGAAAGTAAAGCACACACATATAAAAAATAGACCTGTAAAGATAGAAATCTGAAGAGTTAGTTTCCCTCCATATATTTTAATCAGCTTATATCTGAAACAATTCTGTCAACCTGTAGCTCTACTTTCCACTTGCCAGCAAGTTATTAATTTTTTTCTTCAGAAATATGACTGTTCTTACTACTTTCTTTAGCAATTAATTACTCTTTTAAAATGAGTAATGGGATTCAGAAATTGTTATAAAATTAACAAAACACAGTGATGGCTAAATGAATTTCGGACTTTAATAACAAAAAGGTAAAGAGAACTTATATACGTCTTATTGTTTACACAAAAACTTTTAGAATGACAAAAATAATAGTGATGCCAGATGCCTAAAACATAATAATACAACAAAACAATGATGCCACTGAAACTGTGTATAACATCATTTAAATGCTCGATTCTCAATAGCCTCCTTCGAGCATGAAAATAGTCATTGTTCATATAGATTAACCTTTACTTATTTTACTGTTTTTACACCAATCAACTTCTGAAAATGAAACTGAGGTGCTGGAAGCGCCTTCGTCAGAATGTCTGCTCGTTGTTCAGTACTTCTGACATAGCCTAATTGAAAATGTCCCTTCGAGAACTCATCTTGCACAAACTTGTACCTTTGGTCAATGTGCTTTGTGCGTGCGTGGAACATTGGATTTTTGATGTACTTGATAGTACTCTGATTATCAATTTGTAGGATAGGCAATGAGACATTATTAGCTATCTCATTGAACAAGCCTTCAACCATATCAAGTCTTTCGTGGCATCAGCTGCTGCCATGAACTTTGTCGTCGACTTGGATATGGCCTTCTGTAGCTTGCTTCGCCAAGTTATTGCACCTCCATCATAGAGAGAAATAACACCTGTTCGAGACCTGTGTGTTTCTGCACAGCAGTTGTTATCTGCATGACTAAACAACATCAAACTTCTGTCATCTTCATTATTGTACACAATGCCGTGCCCTATGGTATTGCGAAGGTATCTTAATGTTGCCTGTACGATTTCCCAATCACTCTCTGTTGGATTGTTCAGCTATCGAGATATCAAACTCACTGCGTAAGTAGTATCTGATTGAGTCCCCATCGCCAAGTACAGAAAACTACCAACTTCTGATCGGTATGGAATTTCACTGCTGAGAGGCTTCCCCTCCTTGATCTTGATCGTGCCGTCGTCATTTGGTTGACCAGAGTCGACCTTGAGACTCGACTTCTTTACTGGGATGTGTGATGTCTTACCATCTCCAAATCGCTTTAATATCTTTCTTGTAAAGGCTTCTTGGTGCAGGTAAAGGGAGTCGTCTTTCAAATGTTCAACTTGTAAACCAAGAAACCAATTTAACATTGTTACTCGAATGTTAAAATGTAGCTTGAGCTCGTCCATAAATGTGAAAAATGCTGCTTTGTCCTGAACAGCGACAATGCCACCATCAACATAAATCGCCATCATCATCTTATGTCTATAATCATTTCGTATGAACAGGCAGTTGTCGGATTTACTTTGAATCATGTCATGTTTCTTTAGCACGTCAGTAAACTTGTCATTCCAACATCGTCCAGCTTGTTTCAAGCCGTATAAAGGTCGGATCATCTTGCATACACGCTAACTTCCGTCGTTATAGCCTTTGGGTTGATGTATGTAGGTCTCCTCAGTTAGGTCACCGTAAGAGAGTGCCGTCTCCACGTCAATTTGATATAACTTGAGATTCTCCTTGGCTGCCGTTGCAATTAGAGCTCGAATAGTGTCATAGCGACACACTGAGCTAAATGTGTCTTCACAGTCGATATTCACTGTCTGCGTGTACCCTTTTGCTACTAAACGGGCCTTGAATCTCTCAATTGAGCCATCGAGATTTGTCTTCACTCTGTAAACCCAGCGATTGTCGAGAATTTTACGTCCGTTAGGTGGTTCAACAAGTTGTCATGTTCCATGTTTGGCATGCGAAGCCATTTCTTCGTCCATGGCTCGTTTCCAGTCAGCGTACTGCGGAGGCTTCGTTGCTTCGTCATATGTTTTAGGCTCTTCTTACTCCAGAATGCTGTTGTACACGTCGTATTCAGCATATCGTCTGAATCACCAAAGTTCGAGATTCCTCGCTTCATTGCCTTTAAAGCTGATAACAAATTTTTGCCAATTTCTGGTGCGTACAGTACATCAGTGAGCTCGATAGATTTTTGGTACGTTTCTAACCGTCGCGCAACATGTCAATGTCCCTGCAGCTATATGCTGGTATTGTCTGTTTGTTACCGACTGTGATTTCTGCTTGTTTGTTTAAGTGACGGTACGTCTTGAAATTACTAGGCTGAATTTATAATGTGTGCTCTAGCTCCATCGTCCTTAAGCCGCACAGTTTGGCCTTAATCATCTTCTTGACAAGCAAACGCACTGCATTGAGTATTTGCAAAAAAGGTTTCTGTTTTGCCATTCGACGTGGTTGGCATGTAAAAAAAAACTGGCAAAATTTACCAATGTGCCCGGGTTTATTACAACGAAATTAGATGTCATTGAAACCTTTCACACCATCACCGGTCTTACTAAGTCTGTTCATCGTTTTAGCATTATTTGTTGTCAAGGGTTGGGGTTGGCTGACCATCTGAGGTTTTTTACCACCCTTCTTCCATTTCTTTCCACTATGTTTTGTGCCATAATTAGTATTTACTACGAATGTTATCGTACTTTTGTTTCTAAGTTCTTGATATCTTCTTTGCAGCCGCATGTTGATCTGTTCGATCAGTTTTTTTCAGGTGACTTTTCCGTCATTGGCATTGAGTCCCACTGTGATTTGAAATCGAGATATTCGTCATCAGGAAGAATAGCTCACGCTGAAGATCCACCCACAGTGTACGTAAACGTGCGAGTAATTGCATTACATTTTGGTCTCTCTCGATCCGAAAGGTGAAAAACTGTTGCAGATGAGTGACACCTTCTTAAAATTACTTGACAGCTCATTCTATATCGCTAGTGCGGAATTACCATGCATACGGATCAAATTTAACACATTCGGTGATACTTTTGTGCGAATGATCACAGCAGCTTTCGTATTCGCCTTTGCATACGCTTTTGCGGCTTCGTTGTACTCCCGTATAGTCTTTTCACTCGCGCCATCTGCCGCCGCACAATTGTTGAGCACAAACAAAGAGTTTATTTCAAATTTCCTATTAGTCCAGTTGGATAAACCTTCCAATTCGGTATTCTTAACAAAATTTTTACCTCCCATATTACGTCGTCATTAAGGAAATATGAAATATAAAAAATTAAAAAAAAAAAAAAAGCTATCGGTACACTGTAGCGTCTACTTACACACTGTTCAGGTGGAAGTGTTGAAATCAAAAACGAAAGTAAAAAAAAAAATCCGTGATTCAAATAGTACGTCAACATAGCCATCGTAACTTTATTTGCGCAGTTAAACGTCGCTAAAACCCATAACCTGTTATAAACTTAACAAGAGTAATGGCTAAATGAATTTTGGACTTTAATAACAAAAAGGTAAAGAGAACTTATGTACGTCTTATTGTTTACATAGAAACTTTTAGAATGACAGAAATAATAGTGATGCTAGATGCATTCAAACATAATAATACAACAAAACAATGATGCCACTGAAACTGTACATAACATCAATTAAATGCTCGATTCTCAACAGAAATTTCATCTAAATAAAATGTGGAAGCATTCCATTACTCTGTGTGGTTATATGTTATAATAAATAACTGTATCAATTAAACATTTTTCAATACAGTGTAATTCTTAAATTTTCAGCTGTATTTCAAAACACCATAAGAGTAATATTTATTTTTTATGAGGTACTGTTGCGATAAATTGCTTTTAAAAAATGAATATTTTTTTTTTCAGAATTTGATATTTCTTCTCAAAAAGTGTATCTAATTTTTTAATTGTTTAGATGAACGCTTCTTATAAGTATATTTTTTTTCATTTACTTCGCAATAATCAGATAAATTAAACTTTTTAATTATTCTTAATTATAACATTATTTTTGTAATAAATGTATAAAACTGTTCAGTTATTTTTTCTTTATTAAAGACTAATTTATTATGCTAGGGGAAATAAATTGTTTTATTTGGTCATAAAAAATCGGGAAAATTCAGGAAAGCTAAACATTGAAGTTCAGTGGAAAATCCTGTAACTATTTATTTTATAAACTTGAATTATGTTTCCCTTCGTAGATTTTTTAACTTTGATTGCAGAATAAACTGCACTTGTAATAATTCTGAGTTGGTAGTCTTTCTGTTGGATCTTGAGAGGGATGATTACATAGTAGAATTTGCATGTCATAGAGAACACTGGATGTAACAGAATAACATAACGTTTAATGGATCTTTCCGAAGACTTAACAGGATAGATGAACATATGTATGTTAGCCAATGACATATGAAAAAACAAGATGAGATAAACACCTGCTGACTTGATCATAACTGCTGCATCATATCTATCTGGTCCACTTGGCATTATATAATGTCATCAGACATTTAACTACGAGCTGATGCTTTGCTATTTAGTAAATATTGCAAGGCTGGAATCTCACACTCTGTTGTGTGACTCTTGCATATCTTTGAAAGCTACATACACGTCAGCTTACCATGCCTTAAAACACTGTATCACAAAGGCGACAGCTACAGTTACAATCACGACAATAGTCATAAACTCATAAGGATAACTAGAAGGATTGTCACATCAGTTTGAGTACTGCTATGGATTAAATAGCCATAAGGATAACCACAAGGATATCCTTATCAGCCTGATTTCTACTAGGGGACTGAATACAGTTGCACTTCTTTTCCTTTTCAGCACTGTGCATATACAAGGAGATGCAATTTTCTCTACACTTTCCAGATTAATAGCCCCTTTAAACCATCTAAAAACAATCTTTTACTTTGGAAGTGCTTTCAAAATATTGGCTTTTCATTTTTCTTTTTTTGAATGCACGTAATAATTTCAAAATCACTAATCTTCAAGTAAAGAAAGTGATGTTAATTATTAAGTAATCTTATAAGGTATTTCTCCCGCCTTCTTAACATGCCTTCGTGGTGTAGTGGTCAGCACGGTATTCGAGAGGTCCGTGGTTCGAGTCCCAACGAGAGCATTGCTCATTTTTCTCTTCTCTTGCTCAAAAATAACCTAATGTCTCTATAATCTTAATAATGCGTTTAGTAAAAAACGGCATTGTTACTTCCGAAAGTAATTTAGTTAGCATTTGTTTATACAGTACAAAATCTGAAATCCGAACGTCCGGACCACCAGCCCAATACGTAAATAAATATATAAATAAAATTTTTAAAATTCTCCTTCCATCTTTCATGTCTAGAAGTAGAAAATACAGTATTTAATAAAAGAAACAGATCTACCCTAAATGCAGTTTTTCTCCCCACTAACTGAGATTTCTGGCATGCAACTTTCAAACACCTGCTGGCTAGGAGAGTGGCACCATTGTCAATGACACTGATGTTGGCTAGGATCATGTGACATACTGATGTTGGCTAGGATCATACTTTCGGCCCTTGAGTGATTGTGAGGGAATTAACATTTTTCTATCTGATCTAAACATCAAACTCTCAATGTTCCTATGTTTAATGTCATTTTTCTAGATTTAAACTTGTGACTTAAAATACGGAATCGCCGAAGTTCCGACCAGTCCGGATTTCAGACCTTTGTATAGTACTTTCTAAGCTACTTGTATTCGCAGTGCCTTTCATATTTTTCTGTTACCTTTGTTGTCTGCTTTTATATAGATTTTTGAATAATAATTCCTTTGATATTATTCAAAAATTAGTTTATTTAATTGATTTATGTTGTAGATATTAAAATTTTCGTACTTTGATTTATTTTTGATGCAATAAATAATTATAAATTTTCTGTATTTTTAAATTTCTAAATTTTAGACGTTTTATAAAAAATCTTGTACTTGCTGAAGCTGTGGAGCAGGAGTTGAATCTATATAAGGAATCTTTCAAGTCTGATACAAATCCGAAGGTATATTTTTTTGTTTCAGTTATGATGTTAATATGTTAATTTCAAAATAATAGCTAAATGATTAATTTTATTAACAATGTAAATTTTACTGAGAAATTTTGAAATATTTATTATGTCTGCTAATCGCTTTATTTATTTATTTTTTATGTTTCCTTCCTGTTTTTGAAGGTGCCTGATTTCTGTTCTTATGTAAAGTACTTTAACTTGTTTGGAATTAATTACTAATGTGTGTAAAATTACTAAAAAAAATTATTTGCATCTTATGTATGCTTCTTAAAAACTTTAAAAACCATTTTCAAGCTACTTGAAACTACTTAACAGTTATAAGCAAATCTAAAAGATACTTGGTTTTGTAACTAGTGAAAAACTTATTTTTTGCTAAAAGAATGAAATGATGTGTTTTCATCATTTCATTCTTTTAGGGGGAAAAAACCCCTCTTTTCAGTTACAGATGAGAACACAAAATAATGAGTGTATTATTTTGCAATCTACATAATACTTTTGGATTTCATAATATCTGATCATAGTTTGTTGTGTTTTTGTGTGGTATGTTTTGAATAATAATCTAAATTAGATGAAAAAATTTAATTTTAAACCAAATAAATTGTAGTTTAGATAGGTATTTATGAATTTCTTCCTATCTTGGTTGCTTTTCCTTAGATGAAAATTTTTATAATTCCCCTTATTTGAGTAAAGATGTAAATTTTAAATGAATTTGAAAATTACAACATATTTTATGATCTTTTAAGATTTCAGTATACAAGAACCACAGGATCATTATACATCACATATATATAGATAAAACCTATAGTAGCCTGAATATTTATAAAATATCAGGTAATTTTTTCTAAATGCCTCTGTAATTTTCAATAATTTTTATTCAAGCCTTCATTTGAGCATTTCAAGTGTAAATTATGTTAACTCCTAACAAATAAGGAATGAAATTACTTTTGGCAGCTGGAAAGTATAAATACATTATTATATCCATCTAGGTTACTTTGAATGATTTAAAACGTTACAGTTTCATGTTTTGCCTCAAATGAAAACTTTGTTAGAATGTTTACTAACTGAACATTTTAGATATTAAACATTTTAGATGAGGCTGACCAGTGGTTAAGTAGTGAAAGTTAAGTAGTGAACAGTGGCAATTCATGACAAGTTCTATTCACATTAGTTGAGTGGCCTAGCTACAAAAAATTTTTCTGGCCTTCTGTATGTGTTATAAAAATACAGGCCAAATTTTCTTAAAAAATCTTCTGCAAAGGAATTCCTTTCAGTAGGAGGCATAATGTGCTTTGTCCTATTCAAGTAACCTGTCCAGTTCTAATTTTCATTAAACATTTCTGTTTAAATAAAATGGGGAAAATAATTATATGTCTACAAAAATGCACTTTAAAATATGGTATTTCCAGAAGAATCTATTAAGGTTTTTAAAATCAGTCCTGTTTTCATTATTTAGAATATAGAAATGGATACAAAATATTATGAATATCTGCAAAAACGTGTATGCTGCATTTTACAACTGCAGTACAGTCGCATGACCTATCAAGGAAGTCTGCCAAATTGTATCTTATTTTAGGCCTTTCCACATGAGGAGTGTTTATTTATTTATTTATATTTTTTTTTAAGAATTGCCTTTAGTCAGCATTTCTTGATGCAGTAGGTAAGAAGAGTTCTCAATTCAGATTTTCCATCAGGATGAACATTGAATCCAAAAATATGATTAAAAGTCACTTCAGTATGAAAATATGTATGAAATGCCACAACAATGCTGCATCTCTTAAACTTCATGTTCAGACAATGTTTAGATAAAAACAATACTGTTCTAGGTGGTGATGTCTAATGCAATAAACATAAAAATTTCACTTGATTATAATTCATTATTTCAATTGATTTCTAATGAACGGTTATGGTAAAACTAATTTAAGAATTCTAAATCTACAATAAAAGCAAAAAATGAAAATTTTTTAGTAGTGGGAGGGCATTAAATGTAACTTAAAAATATAATGTTCCAGAGATTCATTATGAGCATCATAAATGCTGAATTCCAGAGAAGTCATAAATGTATCCATTCATTCGACAGAAATAATTGATGTTCCTATCATAATTTTTAATCAGATAGATTAAATATTTTACTAAATAATATTTTAGTGCTTCATCATGGAGAGAATATTGAGTCATATGTAGAGAAATGAATTTCTTACAATGACCTACGAAACAGAATAATTGTATAGTATACAAATAAAGGTAATTGATTTTCTTTTCTGCATGAAATAAGTACTCTGCATTCATCTTAAAAAATCCTCTTTTTTATATTTTGTTTACTACACAACTGATTTTGGATTACTTGAAATATGGAATTTTATTTTCAAATTTCTGCTTCTAAAGCATGTGCTGAGAAGTTTTCTCTTGAATAAAATATTTCTCTAAAAAATGATCAGTTGCCAAGAAACGAGTCTGGTGTGCATACTATATAATTTTGAGCTGTGGTATGCTTTAATTTTCTTGTGAGCTATGGTATGCTTTAATTTGCGTGTTTCTTGTGTTTAAAAAAAATAACTCTTTCGTGATTTAAAAGAAGAGCTGAAATAGCACAATTTTTTATGTTCACACTTGGAATAGTTTCATACAGAAAGAAAATACTGAAATGACATGATTTTTAACAGTCAGCTCCAGAAAACCTGAAATAGGATATTATGCTCTACCACCTAGTAGCCGTAAAAGGGTATGTCTATTCTACTAACTGAGAGATACTGATATGTCATATTTCCAAAGAAGCATGTTTGCTGGAGTGCAAACATTTTGTGTGTATCAGCTAATGACTGCTTTTTCTTCAATAGAATTTAATCTTATTACAATTTTTAACAACTTATTGTAATATATATTTCAATGCTACGCAATATTTTTTCCTTTGATTTTAGAAATAACTTAAAGCTTTCGATTAAAAAAATTAATATGCTTTGTAAATTAAAAGGATGGAAAATGTTGATAGTAATAATTTTTAGGAGACCGAAGTAAACAGAAAAAAACTGAATAGTACTAATGTTTAAAGTAATAAAAAAAAGTGTATAAATTACTGGTGTAAAAAAGCCATTAAATTACTGAAAACTTTTAAGTCTAATTAAACTTGTTAGTACTGTAGTAATTGTAAGAGAAAACTTATTTTCAATAAAATAGAATACAGCAATGTCATATATCGTTTGTTTTTTTATTTACTAAATAAGCATCTGCTATGTAGTTAATCTAATAATTATTCAACCTAAAAGAATAATTTAAAATTATTAAACTGAAAGTTATTTTCCTTTTTAGTCTTATTCTAGTAAAAACAAATTGCATTAGTAGTAAGATTTTAGCGATTTTTAATTACATTTACATCCATATTAAAAAGGAAATGTAATTTAAATCCCTTTTTCATAAGGCAAAAATGAAAAGGAGATGCCAGCTCTTGATACTTGATCGTGGATTTGATTGTATATCACCTGTAGTACATGAATTCACATTTCAAGCTATGGCATATGATATATTGGACATAAAGGATAATATTTATGAATATACTATTGGACAAGATGATGAAGAAAATGTATTTCTACCACTCAGTGATGATGATGCTCTTTGGTGTAGTTTGAAACATGAACATGTGGCTGGCGTTGCAAAGTAAGACCCCCCCCAATAACTATAAAATTTAAATATATTTGGGAGTAAAGTTTCTGAAAAGCAAAAGAAACTTATCTTAATAGCTTTACTTACATAATTCTATGACAACTATGGAAGAAAAAATGTAGCTAATATTAACTGATAAATATCTTTGCTTGTTTAATTCTATGACAACTGTGGAAGAAACAATGTAACTAATTCTGACTGATAAATTCTATAATTCATTTTAAACACACTTATCACTTTCACATATCAGTTTACTGCTAATAAAATTATATTTATGTAAGTTATGGCAAAAACTAAGATTATTTGATAAACTGGTAACTACTGACATATTGCTTGTTTTTAGGAATCTAACAATCTGTTTTCCATAAATTTTCCAATTATAATTTGATAATTATTATTTATTTCTGTAAGATGTCAATTGCATATTAACAGTTATAAAAGCAGCATACTTAAATGGAATTAAATATTCACTTCTAAAAATTGCTAAATAATTTACGAAATTCTTATGTGATGTGATTAAAAAATTATCAAAAAACAATGTCTTAAACATTTTTTTAAAAACATCTTTCTTATCAAAATTATTTTATACTTCATAGACTATAATACTACATTATAACATATTCAAGCGGAATTGAATTCTAATTCACTAAGGTTCTTTCTAATTATCTCCAAGCCCCTGAAAAGTATGCTCAAAGCAACGCACTGTGTCTCAAACTAGGCAACACGTCATGTTGTCAAAATGTATTTATCTGCAGGGCCGGATTTACGTATAGTAAACTAGACAAGAAGTCAAATATAGTATAAATAGTATTAAAAAAGGTATATTCTAACAGACTTATAAAAGGTCCCCATATCTCAAATAGCTTAGGTCCTTATCAAGTCTAAATCTGGCTCTGTTTACCTGGGAACTTAGATATGTGCGCATTCACAGCAAATGAACGTGGATTTTCACCTCCAAATTGAATGATCATTAGCATTTATTTTTGTTGCAATGAACACTTGTAAGGAATCTTGATGAGAATGGGAGGGGGGGCGTTCGCCGGCTACTGGGAAAGCATTCCGTTTCTTCAGAAATGGAGCATTTTCTCTAACAGTAGAGAATGCAAAAATTCGTATTCCATGAAGTTATACTTAGAACAATCGTTATGGAAAAAAATTTGTGCAGTTCCTTGATGTTTTTTAAACGAAAACAGATTGTTGTGTACATGGGAAGAACAACAGTATGTTAAATGCTAAATTTGTGCTGTTCTCTGATGTTTTATAAAATAAAACAGATTGTTGTATACATATAAGGTATACATATCTACAAAAAAAAAAAATTATATAAAAATTTTTTGCAAAATGTAAAGTTTTTAAATTATGGATGTTTCTTGCTTTTTTAATTTTATTAATTCATTGCTCTTTTATGCAATCCTTAGTGTGCCACCATTTTAAAAATCTGATGTGTACACCACATGACTTCCTTGTACTAAATATTAAATTATACGCATATTTTCTTGCATTTCATTTAAACTTATTGGACTGAATTAAATCTACTTCGTCGACAGCGCATAAACCACAATAGAATAAATGCATTCTTTAAAATTCACTCTAGTATTTGTTTACCATAGCGACACTCTGGCGCTAGATTCACTTAACAGTATTAATAATTATATAACAGTTAACTTATATAATAATTATGTAACGGAAACTAAGTTAACTGTTATATAATCCAATAATTATATAACAGTTAACTTATATATTTCGTTCAGATTATAACTCAGAATACACAAAATTTATATCATTTAAAGAATAGAATTATCTAATCGTTGCCACATGTTCTCTTCAAATACTATAATAAAGCTAGAATGATGTATAAAAGAAATTAAGCAAACAAAACAAAAAAGAAACAGTTTTTCACAGACGATTGAGTATTTCTTATTTAATTAATTCAATTCTCACTTCGCGAGAAGGCAAAAATACATAAAAACTCAAAATATCTATATCAAAAATTACGAAGTAAACCTTAAACACTTATTTCCTCGAAAAAATTCCAGAAAGAATTAAGCATGATTTAATTGGCAATAATAAATGAATGCGTTACCTTTGTTGTTGCGAAGCTAAGTTTCTCTAGATTGGCAACAAATCCACTAATCTCCTGTTTCAAATGTAAACATCAATCGCCGCCATAAAAAAAAAGGCTTAGCGACACTTAGACAACCTTAAAATTGTTGATAATTCTAAAAATATTGCATACAGATTTACTAAAGGCATAAAAACCTTAAGCGGAAGATAAAAACAACATAATACAATCATTTTTAAAGCAAAAAATGTACTATTTACAAACATATAAGAGCAAAGAAACTGAAATCACTCAGCCAGGCAACATAGTGGATATATATATAAATATATTTATATACGTTTGGTGCGGCCGATTGTAACCAAAATACGTGCTGCACATCTACATGTTATAGCAGTCCTATATACAAAATTTCAACGTTCTGAGGCTACTCGTTTTTGAGTTAAGCGAGATACGTACGTATGCACGTACGTACATACGTTCGTACAGACGCCACGAAAAATTCTCTTCAGAATTAATTTTAAAGCAGTTTTATAATTTTTTTGAAGGAAAAGAGTATTTTATTCTGTCCTTACATACAGATATCACGCAAAAACATCGTTAAATTGCATTCGATAGCGGTCAAAATGGATATTTTCGTTGAAATATGCTGCCTGAAACTTTTCGCGATTAACAATACTTACTTTGTACAAGGAAGTAAAAATGGCTGTAGTTTTTCACATATTAGCTTTGTGAAAAATTAGTAGGCAATGAGTTGGCGACTATTTGGAAGGGTATGCATATAATTAGAAAATATCTTTAATGCAATAATACTCAAGTTTTCGTTAATTATATTAGGAAAAAATGTTAAGGTAATTCGATTTTATTTGGTTAAGGATTGCAAAAATTAAGATAAAAGTTTATTGTATTATTAATATTAAAATTATGCATTATTTATTTTCTATTTATAGAACTTTTTCCTAAAATACTTTATATGACGTTAATTTTTATCTTCTGAGGCATCTTTTAAATCGAAAAATATAAGTCAATTTATAATTAATTCTCTATTCGGTCCATTTCAAATTAGAGCACCTTTTATTTTAATAGCGAAATACTTTAAATAGTACTTAACGTTCTATGAGTATTTCTGAAAGGGAATAAAATAAGGATTTTTTAAATATTATTTAAAACTTGTAATTGAGTTATTATAAAATATAATTTTTTAATTATCAGATTTTTTACCCTTAATTTCAACAATACATATTTCAAAACTCTTCTTTATTACTTTCTTAAGTACGCATCTCATAGAATTTGCTTTACAATACCTTTAAACAGATTGCTTTCCAGTACGAACAAATCTTGCTTAAATACTTTTATGACGTATTTGTCAACAGGATTTCAATGTATGTTTACAATTCAATGTTAAGGTTATTTTATATTTACATAATATTTATAATCATTATAAATTTAGATACATTTAATAATTAGATTTCTTCACAGTAACTTTCACAGTTGTTTATGAATGAATAAATCCTTCATTTCAAATATATTTATAAATAATTTGATAATATTTAAGTATTTTGATATATAAAAATAAAATGGTGAGTTTAAAATGAGCAACAGTAAAGCCTCTCCTCTAAAAAAATTTAAAAAGTACAGGTTACAATAATATGTGGATGTGAAAAAAATTTAATTTATTTAAAACATTTTGGCGTTTGGAACATAAAAGAAAAGTATCGGAATATGTATACAATTTTAAAGGTACCGTAAGGTATTTTTCATTCTGTAAGCATAACATTTTTGCTAAAATCTATATTTTTGTAGTTCAACAAATTAGAATTTTATAAAACGAATTTATAATCAAAATCGTTGTTGTTAGTTATCGAAAAATAACCAAGATTTATTTTTGCGTAACTGTCACTAAGCTATACAAATCGCTATTATCCATTACACTATGAGTGTTTCTTTTATTCGGAAGTGTCCCGTTTTTCGATTTGTATGAGCTGTCGTGTGTCGAAATACTATCAGAGCGCTGTCAAGTCAGCTTCTGAATGTAAACAAAAAACACCCATCTAGTGACTGAAGCTTCAGAGCAGTGCTTCACTTGTAGTGCCAGTTTGACCACTCTTTCCTTTCTTACCTCCATGAGAGAAGGACTTGTAGGGTTTTTTTTAGTTAAAATTAACATATTATTCAACATTTTGTTATTTTTTCTGAACTCCTCAACTTCCCCTCGCATTTCCTTTCCAGGATGTATATTTAAAGTTAAGTTAAGTGAGTATTTAAACGGGTGAATTGAAGTTTATACGGAGCGTGTTTTCGCTAGCCAGCGCACATTTCGTTGCTGATCTCGCTGTAACGCTAATACGCCCCTTTGCCATTTCAGATAATTGTCACGCCGTTAGGATTTTGTTGATTCAACCTAAGCTAGCCGTAACGTAATGAGCTAATCGGTTATTATTCTATTTAGACGTGAATTGATATTATGTTATAACGTTTAAGTTCCACCGCAAGTTGTCGGTGTTATTCTAAATTACAAAGATCGTGCCTTCTGTTTGTTGGTTTGTGCATCAGCAGTGAAGGCGGTAATGAGTAAGTTGCCTCAGGCGCAGTTTTCATTAAAGAATCACAAGTCAAATAATTAACTACGAAATCTTTATTTAATAAGTATGAGAATTCTGCTTAACTTAAGTAGAACACCGATTAAAGTAATAATCTTCACAGACATTAAAACACTGAATTATCGAAAAGGAGAACTTACATAGAATCATCATCAGTCCTAAATATCATCAGGCTTACCTATTTAGGCAATAAAAAAAAAAGAAACACGAACATACTTCGACACAGTACCTGAAAGATAAAGCACTAACTGAATTAGACCTTTGGCCCAAGTACAAGTAGCTAAGGTGAGAAGTCAAATATACTGCATTGCACCCGAACTTTACTTTCTCTCGCC